ACAAGGTGGTGACCCGCTTGGATTTGACTACGATGTCGTCGACATAGGCGCCAACGGTTCGCCGATGAGATCTCGAAGCAACTAAGCATACATGTACTGGTACGTTGCCCCCAGCGTTCTTCAAACCAAACGGCATTGAAACGTAGCAAAATGATCCGAAGGCGTGATAAAAGATGTCGAGCGAGTGGTCGGACTCTTTCATCGCGATCGATGGTAGCTTTGAGTATGCGCCCAGAAGCAGAGGGTTTCGCACCGAGGTGGAATCGACTATTTGGTCTATTCGTGGCAAAGGAAATGGATCCTTTGGACACGCTTTGTTGAGGCGATATAATCAACACACATTCTCCATTTTTCGCTTTTTTTCGAACACAAGCGAGATTCGCTAACCACTGGGTGGTACACTTCCTTAATGAATCCTGCGGCGATGAGTCCGCTATCTCTCGCCGATGGCCCCTGCGTTTCTCCTCGTCGAAGCGGCGCGCAGCGTTGTTTCACCCGGCTTGGAGCCGGGAAGGATTTGGAGAGTATGCTCGGCGACCTCCCTCGGGATGCCCTAAGCATATCCGAGGGTTTCCACGCAAAGATGTCCTTGTTGGCGCGGAGGAAGTCGACGACGAGCGCTTTCCTATGCGGAGGAGAGCGCGGTCCCGATTCGGACTTTTTGCCCTCGAGCTACTGGGATCCAAGAGGACGTCCACGAACCCTCTGCCGATTCGAACGATCCGGACGACTTCTTTGCGTCGGGTGTCCCTCACCGACCTCCTCCCCGAGGCGGCGAGCTCTTCGGATGCGATGACCGCGGATGCGTGTCCGCAAAGATTCGACCTCGCACTCAGAAGCGCCTTTGGAAGGAGGTGCCGATGGTGATGATCCCACGGGGCGGCAGATCTTCACTTTCAGATATGTGTAATTGGGTACGGCCATGAACTTGGCGTAACATGGTCGCCCCTGAATGGCGTGGAAAGTCCCAGGAACCCCACTACATCGAAGGTGAGGGTCTCGGTCCCAGAATTGGATCGATCCCCAAAAGTGACGGGCGAGTCAATCGCGCCCTAGTGGCACGGCTTGCCTTCTGATACGACGCCATGGAAAGGTGCTCGGGACGGGCGGAGGCGCGTTTTCGGTCGACGCCCATCTCGTCGAAGCGTCTTGGCGTACATGATGTTGAGGCCGCGCCCCATCCATCGATACCTTGGTGAGCCGCTTTGGGACCGACGATCGGGTCGACGACAAGCGGATACCTTCCGGGTGTGGGATGGCATCCAGATGGTCGGTCCGGTCGAAGGTTATGGCGGATTCGACCACCGGAGATAGGGGTGGCATATGGTCCGGTCCGGTGGTATAGACCTCTCGACGCGACCTTCGGCGGCGGCGCTGGAGTCGAGGCCGTTGATCCTCCGAAGATCATGAGGGCACCGGCCGGAGTTGGGAAGGTGTCGTCCTTCTCCTCCGTGTCGTTAGTGGTGGGAACGAGCTCCTTCCCCGCTCCTCCTTGTTAAGGCCCCCCACCAAGTATTTGCGCATAAGGCCGCATTCCTTGTATAGGTGCTTGGCGGGAAGGCGTGGTTTGGGCATGGCCCCTCGAGCATTTTCTCGAAGTGGTTGGAGTGCCCTCCGGGCTTCCGCCACCTATCTTGATCGGCAATGCCATGAGTAAGTTGTGTCATCGCACGTGCTGCTTTTATTTTTCCTTTGGCGGGACGGTTGGGCGCCTTATTTGGCGTCCTCCCGCCTTTTTTTCCGTCGATGACGATCAAAGATGGTTCCCCACCGCCTCTTCTCGAGGCGTGACTAGTGGCGATGTCGGGGAGTTCCTTGGTAGTTCGCGGGCCCTGCGCCCCTAGCTTGTGGACCGTGGATTCGCAGGTCGTCCGGACGTAGAAGGCTCCTATTACGTCGGCATCGGCGACGTTCGGGAGCTCATTGCCTTTGTCGTGAAAAGCGCCGGATGTACCGCGGAGGGTTTCACCGGCTTTCGACGGCGATTCTTGAGGTCCCATGGGTTTCAGGCGTTTGTACGTGCCCTCGAAATTACCCACGAAGATCTCGATTAGATCCGCCAAACTCGAATAGCATTGGACGGTAGGTGCTCCAACCACGCTTCGTCTTTGAGTCGGCGAGAACGGCGGGAGATTGCGAATAATGAAATTATCATCACTAGCACCACCGGCACGACATGCAAGCCGATAGTCTTGAGCCAAAGCCCGGGTTTGTTTCGCGAATATTTAGGAATGTTCGTAGGCGGTCGATACCTTAGAGGGAACGCAGCGTTGAGGATGTGCCGCCAAAGGCCCGAGGGCTGGCGGGGACGGGCTCGAAGCCGGTCCTCGTTGTTGTCGTGAAGCGCCGCCACGTCGGGGATGATAGCCGCGCGGCCTTGCTGCTTCTCCTCGTCGCCGTGGGCACGCCTCTCCGGCGCCGATGATGCTACGACGCCGCGCCACGCGCCGAGGCGTTGATGTCTGAGGACGACGGAGGGCTGCCGCCGGCCGGCGGTGTTTGGTGTCTGGATCGTCCTTGGTGGGATGCACGAAGGTGCTGTATTGGCCGGTGTCGGGTTCGCGTCGTCGAGACAACGAACTTTCCGCTTGCTGCTGGGCAGCTAGCGCTTCGAGCAACGTGGCGAATCTCCCGATAAGCGCGTCGATCCTCGGACGTCGTGGCCTCCGGAGACCATGCGGCAAAGCGGTCGCCGCGCGGCGATGTTCCGGCTCGAGCAAAGTGAGGAAAGGCCCCATCGTCGGTGAGGATCCTTGATGATGTACGGTGCGGTGGGCGCGTGCTGCGCGCGCTCCCGTCTTTGCGGCGTTCAATCTCGCGATTGATGTCCGCGTATTCCCGTCTGAGCCCTTGCCCGGCCTCATCGATCTCTTTTGCCGACGAGCCCTTTAGCGCCTCCATCCTCGGCGAGATGGGGCTGTCCCTTCTTCCCAGATCTGCCGCCGGATTGTTCGTGGGGTGGCCTCTTCCTGAGGCGCTTTCGACGTGACCCTCGAAGGTGCGTCGCGCCATGTAGCATTCTCGGGAAGGGTGGTGGCTCCCCTCGCTGGAATCCGAGCCGGAGAAGCGATCTGAGCTCCTCGTTGAGGAGCTCGTAGAGGTCTCCGTATCCCGCTCAATCGCCCCCACGAACACGATGTCCGTGGGTGGTTGAACTCCACGTAGTGCCGGAAGCGGCCGGTGGTTGCATAGCGTTATGGAGAGACCGAACGGAAAAGCGCTGCCAGGCGCTCCATACGGACCCTTCCGGACACATGGTGTGGCGTTGTGAGAGGCTTCTTTGGGTGACGGGACTCCCGGAGTTGCCGGTGGACCCTCAAGCGAGAGACGGTGAGGTTGATGGAAGGGGAGATGGGGGGGCGGTTGAGTGAGTCGCTGCGCTCTCCTTCTAGTGTGATGATGAAATCCAGTCGCCGAACGCACGCAGCGCCGGGCCAGTGTGTGATTGCGTGGGTGGTCATCCGAGACTGGTTTGGAACAGCGCAAAGCCCCTACTGGCGCGCCAACCAACCGGTGTTTCGCATACAAGCACCGCAAGTGAATTATAATGTGCGCGTTAGGCTCGGATGGTGCGCTAAAGGACACAGATTTATCTTTGGTTCGGAAGAAACGTCCCTACGCCCGCTTTGTTGTTGCTTGTGTTATTAGCACCGTAACGATCCGTAGTAAGAGATACAAACCGCCGAGAGAGGGACTGGTCCCAAGTCTCGATCGAAGGATTGAAAGGTGGTCAAGAGCTTCAGAGTTGCTTGAATGTGTGTGAGTGCGTTCTATTGTTTTTGTCCTCCTTTTTCTTCCTCCCTCCCTCGATGGAAGAAGCGCATCCCTTTTATAGATGAAGGGCCGACTTTACAAGGGTAAGGGCTCCAGGACGCGTACTCTACTTAATCTTGTGGCTCGCGTCTACACAGTCGGGTCCTCCACTCGATGAGTGCGAAGGAAGATAAGTGTTTACAATGTTGTCGATGTCTCGTAGGGATGTCGGGTTAGTCACAGAAGAATGCTGCCTGCTGCAGGTATGGGCTGCAGATCTGTTGGTTTTGACTTATGAGCCTCCCAGCACCTTGCTCGCACGCCTTACGGTTCTCATGAGTCCTTGTTGGGAGAATGCGGGTCGGGGTCCGGTGTAACGCCGTGGTCAAGGCCCTTCGACCGGGAGGACACGAGGGGTCTGGAAGCGGCGCCGCTCCTCGGGTCCACCGTGTGGTGACGGAATACCCATCGCTCGTGGAGATAGCAAATCTTTTCCGGAGCGTAGCGGTTGTCGTATATCTTCGCCGGGTTCCGTGTCCCAGAGTCAAGGCGGCGCCTACAACTCTACAGGTGAGGTGCACGCACGCACTGTAATACCTTTTGGGCTCTGCGGCGCCGGAAGGGTCTAAAGCTTGATCCTGCGTTCCTGGCGGTCCTTTTCTCGCCAGGCGCAGGTATGGTCGTTGGAGCCATGGTTGACCCGAACGTCTTGTCTCGCCCCTGTACCCATCATTATGAGGGATAGATATCGATCAGGGATGAGGCTCGTTCGGGCCGCTCGGGTGAGGGGTGACCCGCGCCTCCCGGGGTCGGGCGAGACGGAATTCATCCTCGGCCCTCGGGCGAGACCGAGCCCCGCCTCAAGGCGCGCGGCGAGGCGGAGTTTATCCTCGGCCCTCGGGCGAGACGAGAGCCCGCCTATAGGCGTCAGGCGAGACGGAGATTAGCCTTGAGCTTTTGGGGGCGAGGGGGGTTATCCTACAAAGGCGTCGGGTAAGGCTGACCCCGCCCCTCCGGGGTCGGGCGAGATGGAATTCATCCCTCAGCCCTCGGGCGAGACCGAGCCCGCCCTCAAGGCGTCGGGCGAGGCGGAACCGAACTCCTGTCACTCGAACAAGGGATGACATGGAGCCCTTATGCATCTAGAAGTTTTTCACGTTCGGTGGTCATCGGTTCCACCTTCTGGGGTACCCTGGTATTAGGTCCCCGACACATTGCTAATAAAACTGTGCCCACAATTTTCACAGGTCTATGGGATGTTGGATGTGCAGAGGGTGGCTGGTAACTTCCATATCTCAGTGCATGGTTTGAACATCTTTGTTGCTGAAAAGGCCAGTAATCCAAAATTCCAGATACTTACAGTTATTCTACCCTTTGTACATTTTGATTATGAAGTATGTGTACTTTCTTTACATAAAGTCCAAGCTGCTAAAAAAACTTAATTATAATATTAGTGATTTTGTGCTATAGAAAAACACTAAATTCTCTTAAAGAACACTAAATTTAAATGAGAGTAAAAAGGAGAGGAAAAAAATAACAAGTGAACTACCACAACCTGCCATTGGAACAAAAGATATTTGATCCCTTGAACATCGTCTTATTCTGACCATCACATGGTATTGAAATAACCATGATTTCTTCTGAGGCTCTTCCGTTGGCATTGTACTTTTTCCAGTCTTTCCACTGATATGAAAACAACATGAAGTATCTTTGTTCTTTTCTTCTTTGGGCATATGTTACTTCACCGCTATTTTTACGAATTAGAATCATTTTTTCCCTGCAAGGTCTGTCAGTTTTATGGATATAAATAGTTTCATCTGCATTAAAAACATCATATTTTTTGTTGATTGTGGTGTTTTTATTTATGTAAACAGGCAGACTTGCTTTCTTGCCTTACCCCTTAACAGAGGGCTCCTGTGCAATCTTGTACTTCAATTGACATTAGCGATACATTTTTCAACTGGTTATTCAATATAGTTTACCAATATGTACCTTTTTTATGCAGATTTTTGAAGGGTCAAGCCATGTGAACGTCAGTCATGTTATCCACGAGCTGTCATTTGGCCCAAAGTATCCAGGAATTCATAACCCACTGGATGAGACTTCAAGGATACTTCATGACACAAGTGGAAGCTTCAAATACTATATCAAGGTGAGTTGCCATTCATCTAGCCTTTGTAATCTAGCATTTGCATGAAAAAGCTTCCAAGTCGCAACATTTAGGGAATATAGCAAATAAAGCCTGAAGGGAATTAGGTAGTTTCACAAACGTTCACATCTAGAACTCATCAATGGGGGCAAAAGGAAAATTGATATTTCCGATCTCCAACGAGCTAATGTTTGTTGAGTTGATTTGATCAAGTACACCACAACATCTGTAGAGTGGATACTTACTAGTTCATTTTACTATGCAATTTGTAATAGCTTGTGAGAAAAGCTCTACTTTTTGTCCAATTGATATACAGGTTGTTCCGACTGAGTACAAATATCTATCAAAGAAAGTATTGCCAACAAATCAGTTTTCTGTCACAGAGTATTTTCTTCCCATTCGCCCAACTGATAGGGCCTGGCCAGGTAACTATCCCCCTCCCTTCCTTGTCGAGCATGGTATCTTCATCTATTCTCAAAACTAAACTATATTTTTTTTCATGTAGCGGTTTACTTCCTGTATGATCTCTCACCAATTACAGTCACCATCAAAGAGGAAAGAAGGAACTTCCTTCATTTTATAACTCGTCTATGTGCAGTTCTTGGTGGCACATTTGCCATGACAGGTTAGCTTGCACCCAATAATTTTCTGGTCTATCTTTGTGCATTTTGCATTTTTTTACTCAGTTTCACTGACAGCATCAGTTGCATTGCATGCAAGGTGGTACTGACAGCAGAACTTAGAAAATAAATCCATTGTTTAATTAACTAATTGTTACAAACTCTTACCGTTATCTGTTATACAGGAATGCTTGACCGATGGATGTACCGGCTTATCGAGTCAGTCACCAACTCAAAGACCAGAAGTGTACTGCGGTAATTGCGCAATTCATGATAGACGGAGAACAGCTGGTACCGTGGCTAATGAAGCCAATAGATCTTTGCCCCAAGCTAACTGGTCAAGCCATGTTGATTTACATGCTTTATTTTCTCCGTGCATGGCTAACTTATAATACGTCGTTTTTTTTTTTTATCATCAATCATGTTAGATTGACACCAAGTCCACGGACTACAGTTTGTCATCAACTGACATCTATCGACTATCGTGGAACTAAACCATTGAAGACAAGTGATTTGGGAAGGAAAAAAAACTTGTGATGAGGAATATGTATGCAAGAAAAACATGGCTCCAGAATAGTTTTTACTGTGAAAATCAATACAAATATTTAGCTTCAGCGTGCTCTGTGAAAGCGACCGCATGCTTCATTTGCGGGACGAATTTCATCGCGTGCGTTGCGAGCTGCATACGAGAGGTAGGTGGGTGTGGTTTGTCCCAACAAATTGGGTGATAAAAATTATGTAAAAGTTTAGCTTTCCCACAATGACAGAACAGCACATCCGCAGGATACAGTATCTGAATCTAATCTTTTCAAAGCCGGATAGCTGCCCTTGCGCACATGTGAAAGTGCTTAGTGTTATCGTCGCCGATAACATATCAGTAGTTAGTTTAGAGGTATTCAAGCTAAGGGAACTTTTAACAAGAGTGCGGAGATTTCTCCAAAGAGAGAGAGGGTCCTAATCTTCTGGCTTGATTATAACGTGAAAAGGTACCGGATCGATTCGTTTCCCTGACGCGTGCTTGCACTCCGTGCCCCTTGCTCGTCCCTACTTATCATGCGCTCCCTCGGCGGTCCACGCCCGTGGCCACATGCAATATCGGATCTACTTTTTAAACATCCAGATGCAATAATTGCAACAAACGTCTGAACTCTGAAGAGTGAAGACACATGAAATATTTAAAACATGCGTCTGAAACACTTGCAAAAAAAACACTTGAAAACCATTGCTAACATACGCAACATGCAGATAAAACACTTGCAACGTATGTGTGAAACATATGCAGCTTCGAGATAAACATGCATGCAACATACGTATGAAAAAACAGATGAAACATTGGGGACAGACGCTTGCAACATACGTGTACAACTATTGTAACATATGCAACATTCTGATCTATTTTGCAACATCCCGATCTACTTTTGCTATATTTGTGTGAAACACTTGTAACATACCTCTAAAATAACTGAAACATTTGAATTGTACACTTGCAACATGCATCGTATCTCGGTGCGCCCCCTTCCGCCGTCTGCATCAGGGCGCCGGTGCGCCATAGTCGTAGCAAGAGGCAAGGCCAGAGGGCTTCCATGCCAGGGCCCGACGCTTCTCCTTGCGCTAGCGGCGCCTATCGGCATCGTCAAGCGAGGCGGGCTGCGAAGCAGGAGCAGGGGGGTGTAGAACAGGAGCAGCAGGGCAGGCGTGCGAAGCAGGAGCAGTGTCGGGAACAGCGTCAGGAGCGCGCGGGGTGGGAAACGCCGCGGCGGATGCGGCCGATGTGAATGGGGAAACGGTTCTAATGGGGAGTGAAGAACACAGCTGGACTTTTTTTTTATCAAACAATCGGAGGAGGCTTCGAAGATAGTTGGGCCGTTCGTCGTGGCCCATGGCAACGGGGGCGTCCGGACGTGCGGAACCAGCATTTCCGAGATTCCATTGTTTATTTGTGGCAAAATATTGATTACAACGGTGCACAGCCCAAAATAAGGTTTGCTATCTAATAAATAAATCCTTATATAATAAGAGAAAAGGTCCATTAGACTCCCACGGCCCTCTCTTGCTAGATCAGCCAATTGAGGCTTCAAGTCCATGGGCCAGCCCAATGGCCGACTTATCTTGTTCTTGTCATCATAGCAGAAGCTTAGCTCGCCTGTTCTAGTCTGCACTACAGCAGCAGTCAACCACGGACTCGTTGATGGTCCACTGAGTTTCAGTGAAGCTGAAACGTAAACCCGATCTTGATCAACCCTAGTCCCATCGCGCCAAAACTGTTGAACGGTTGGCTATTGTGTCGTGGAAGGGTTTGGGTTCCAGCTTGAGATGCGCCGTTATTGATGATATTCCATATTTCGTTGGTCCTCGTCAGCTCAGTCAATCTTCCAGTTCTCGGTTCTCCTGCGAAGAAGGGAACACGGTTAGATTAGGCCCCATACCATTGTTCCTTCCATTCAGAATCTGGAATCCATCGCATGCATGCATGTGTCGAGTCTTGAGGCTTCAGAGTTCAGAGTGACCAAACAATCATCTGAGCTGTACCGCGGCGCGGATTATTATGCAGAACAGCAGAAACGCAAAGGGAACGCGATGACTTCAGTAGCTAGTATCCCTTGTTCTAAAGCAGCTTGATTAAGTAGTCATCGTTCACACGGCTGATTCGCAGGCTGCGTACGTGTAAATCATTTGCTATTTGGGACGCAACAACGCCAAGCAGCGACCCTAATCGACGATGCTTTGCAAGCAGCAGTATATATACACTGTATCGTGTGAAAGGAGGGGACTAGTGTACGCTTGTCCCTTCGGCCGCCGTACCAAACAGGCAAACACAGGTCCAGAGACTATGATATATTAAACAGTGAGAGGATTAATCAGGGGATCGAGCCGATTTCGTTTCAAACTTGGCATCGATGGATGCATGGATCGGGTTATTCTGGCCGCCAGTCAGCAAGTCGAGCCTGTTGACCCCAAGGACTAGGATTTGGACCTTGGACCACGGTTCCCAATTCGTGTTTATCTTCACCTTACCTTTTATAGAGTATCACCCTATTAGGAAAACACACGCGTCGCAATTCGCAAACATTATTGAACGTGGCGCAAGGACCGGACCCGTCAGAGTTGCATACAATACAGATGATTCTGAACCTGGCCAGTCTACTCTGTGTCGTCGGTCATCAGAAAGCCACGGCCGTGAAACTCACCACGCCTGCCAGTTCCTGAAAGGATGCAAAATGGATTACTGCTGCTGCCATTGGTCTACTATATACTACAGTACGGCTACAAGTCAAAGAACGCCGCCACGAACGAGAGAAATCAGAGGTACTGCGTGATATACCGCTGCGTAGACCGAAGAAGACACGAACAGTGACCCTCTAGGGATACTGCTGGACTACCAGGAGAAGAATACCAGTGGCTGGCGCCCTGCCGCTGCTAGAATCTCCAGTCCGGCTGCATGCCGGTCGATGCCAGCACCACCACACACCAGCACGGACGTGAGCAGAGAGCGACCCGTGGAACGCAGCGGGAAACTTGATGGTCACACTCCCGAAAATTAACGCTCGTCCTTGTTCCGATCGCCTGCCACCAGCGACGAATCCAACGAGACGCGCGCGCGCTCGCGGCGGCGATCGGAAAAGGACCCGGAAACCGCTGGCCACCAGGCGAAGGAGGCGAGCCATTCCGTTGCTTCCGTCTGATCGGCTGCGTGCGACGTCGGGACGCAAGGGATTGCATGACTGTACAGTAAATTGTTGCTACTGTGTGCTTCATTCAGTATAGGTCATGCAGACATTCTGCAGCCTGTTCGCTTGCTCGTAAATGATCGTAAATTTCTAGCCGGAAACAGTGTTTTTCTCTCATACCAAACCAGCCAGCAGTAAATAATCCACGATACGATACGACCGCCCGAACAGGCTGCTAATGTCTGGCAGTGTCTGCTGCAGTGCGCACAGAGACACGTAATAAGGGCACATACGTAATTTCTCGGTCTCCGAAAGTTAGGATTGCACTCTTATCCGTACGGAGGGACCTGCGAGGCAGGCAGCAGCGCAGCAGTCTAGTCTCAGAACAGTGGACGTTCTTTTGGAAACTAGCGTACTGCAGTGCTCTCTCCATCAACAAAAATATACATTTTCATTTTTTTTATGAATCAAATAATGAAATAATGTCACGCAAGTAAAGAGGAGGTAAGTAGGTAACCGATCGCACGGCCTCCATGGATGCATGTGTTCTATGCTTCTCCAGCGTAGTACCATTGGACGCGCCCAACCCAGATGCTTCAAGGTGCTAAGTGCGTGCGCTCCTTCCTCGCCACGCCAAGCTTCGAGATCCGTGCGGGACCTGGAAGTCACGGATGGGATGATTGCCGAATCATGCCACCCCCGCCAGGCAGCCCCTTCAATCAGTCTCTTCATTTGGCCGTGGCTCGTCGTAAACGATCGTAAATTTCCAGCCGGAACAGTATTTTTCTCTTACACAAATCAGCTAGCAGTACTTCTTCACGAACCAGCAACGAAACGAACCAGCCAACCGAACAGGCTGAATGCTCGCGCGCATGGTCCTCCTCGAGATTTACTCCTGACCGACCGGTGGGGGCCGCGGCGGGGCGGGGCACGGTGCTAGGCCGATCACGACCATCGGTCGTCGTCCGGACGGGCTGGATGCGGTCAAAACGCCTCGTCCCGATCGCCCCTTCTCTTTCTTTCACCCTGTTCGCTTGTTGATTTCAGCCAACCCAAACCAACCAACCAACAATATTTTTTTCTCACAACAAACCAGCACCAATCAACTTAAATCAATTCATAAACCAACGAGCGAAAAAGCCGTTTGACTCCGACTACGCCCTTGGAACACTAGAAACTCCTCGTCTGATTTTGACTGGCCTGTCAACATCCGCGTGGGCCCCGCTGCCACCTCGACATATCTATGACCTGACCATGGAGGAGTAGGAGTAGTAGCGTGGCAGTACAGCTGTAGTATATAGTACGGCCCTTCCAATAGGATATTCCCTTCAATGCCCATGCGCTCTCTCTCTCTCTTTGACTGAATTTTTTTTTTATTTAAGAGGAGGGCCTTCCGCGTGTGCTGCGCATTTGCATCCCGGTCCTCGGATAATACTTTTCCTTCGTTTCGCCGATGATGCACACGCACTACACTTGGGTCCAGTTTAGTTGCAAAAAAATTTGCAAAATTTTTCAAGATTCTTCGTCACATCGAATTTTTGGACATATGCATGAAGTATTAAATATAAATAAAAAATAAAACTAATTACACAGTTTAGACGAAATCCATGAGACCAATCTTTTAAGCCTAATTAGACTATGATTGGACACCAATTGCCAAATAACAACAAAAACTGCTATCGTGCTATTTTGCCAAAATTTTTGGCATCTAAACGAGGCCTTCGACTTCGTTCTCAGAACCGCTTTGTGGAAAATTCTACTCTGAAAACCAGTAGTACGTTTTTCCTTGCAGAAATTTCTGCTGAAACTATTCTGTCCCTCGTAGCTCTGTCAAAGCCGAAATTCAAATTTGCACTAGATTTGACGGCTGAGTCGGTCTGACCTACAACTTCCATTCAGGTTTTGTCAATATTTTTTTTAAAAGGTCACCGGGGATGAACTGTCCCACCTGAATTTCATTACCACAGATTTCGACAAAAATCGGTGACGGTAGTTACGGCGTTGGGTCAAAACCCGGAGTTACAAAGAAGAAGGCGAGAAAGAGAACAACAACCACACCACATACAAACAAAAACAACCAGCACCCACGGCCAAAAGGGAAAGCAACTAAACTATAACTTCCATGACAAAGACATGTCGATGATCGCCAAACAATGCACCACTAATAGGCCGAAGTCCAAAGAACTCCATTCCACGGGCGACTATAAGGCATTGAGTCAAGATGACAGACGACAACCGTGATGTGCGTCTTCTATGGAGTTCATCCGGGATCCAATTGCCTTCCACCTACGGCCCTGGAGAGGAGGAAGCTTCAAGGGTTGGAGGACCGATGATTGGAGAACAAGGAGATCCAAGAGAGGGGACCATGATCCCGTTAACCCAGCATATGGTGAGAAGATGCAATCAAGGAACCGAAGGAAATCATAGCAAGGACTCTGGTAGCTTACACCATCGAACAACCAGCTCTTGTCAATATTTGGTACTCCATCTTGTTTAATTTAGCTTAAATCGTACGTATGGTCAGATCATTAGGCGCCAAAAAAATCTTGTTTAGTTAGCTGCACTGCAGACTGCCAGTACTGCAAATAACCTCAAGGCAGTTAGTCAAACCTATGCTCAGCGCAATTCTTAATCAGTTCACGTCAATGTCAGACTGGCGCCATTCGAACACAGATCGGTAAGATCAGACATCTCATGATGTTCTAGCGCTTTGAGCGCAATTTTTATGCCCGCTAAGGCCCAGGCCACCATGCATATTAGTTTCTAGAAACGACAGTTGTGTGTTCCAAGCAGGTTTGGATCCTTCCGTTCAATTGAACAAGAGAGGAATATCGGCGCAGCAATGACGTCAACAAGAGATGCCTGCACGCGATCCTTTTCATAGACGGCCAAGTAATCTCCTGTGCTTCATTCCATGTCAATATATAGTACATTTTTCTTTATTATTATTATTCACTTAAAGAAGAAGAACAAGGTGTTCTAAGATTATAAAGCGACAGGAAGAATCAATATTCTTATTTGAAAGAGGGAGTATTATAATTTTCTCCTATATAGAACAGAGAAGAGGTGATTGAGGTAGCGCTGACTCGTCAACACCTTCGTTCGAAGCCGTACCGCTGCCAACTTTCGAGCCAAAATGACACTCTTCACGGCACCGAGGTAGTGATATCTTAGTAGGAAGGGAAATAAAATTGTAAGACAGGAACATCGATACCTACTACGTTCCCAAATAAAGGAGACAACTACAAGGCCAACTGTTCTTTGACGAGCAAAGAAGCACCACTTTTCCCAATGAGAAAATTAAACGTCCATAAAAAAAATCTTTACTTCTGGTTGGATAACATTAATTTTTAGAAAAGAATTATTACATGTAGATATAGGATTTTTTAGGGAAAGTGTAGTATCACATGTATGTGAGATACTACACATCGCTTGGATTGTACATGGATTTAGAGAATCCAAAATCCTCTATTATCTAGGTTATTTTGGAATATAGTATTTTCAAGATCTATGTGTCAGATTTTTATATTTTACAGTATACACTAACATATTTGGATGGGAAGAGAGATTCTTGTAACCTGCGCCAATCCAAACAAGGCTTAGGTTACACAAAAGGAAAAATAGTATTTGGTAGTACGAGTCATTTTGGTTGCCATCACTGACACCATGGTTCTAGCACGCAACAGACATGTCTAGTTGTTGTGTTGTTTTGGCGTGCCGAGAAATTTGCGCGCGTTGCCTCCGTATTTTTCTTCATGAAACCTTGCCGAATTGTGGTGCCGTTTTAATCCGACACACGGTAGGCATGCGGATGCTAGGACTTGGCATCCGGTGGCAAGGACCATGACAAGGCTTATGTCTAACAATGTACATAAACATCAATTGACCTTCTCCATCGTATTTGACAAGAACGGAGAGAAAGGAATTACCCTAGAAATTACACTCCCTCTGCTTGGTACATTTTTTTTCTTAATTCCTAGTCACTTGACACAAACTCTAATGGTGTTGTTGTAAGATTAGGTTAGAAGAGGAACTTGAAAAGCATCATTAATAGAGTAAAGTATAAAAAGCCGTCCCATAGTTGCTCTACTTTTGACCATGCAGTTTTTCTCTTCTTATTTGCCCTCTCTAACTCCATTTAATTTTCTTGCCCTCGTTACCTCCATATCTTGCTACCTGACCAATTATTATTATTATTATTACAACCGTGCCTAAAATGCTGTAGGATCACACAAGCCTGCAGGCGCCCTCTCTACAAGGACCCCGGTCTGGCTATATATGCGGCAAGCCGGCAACCCATTCCTGCCCGTTCTTCCATTAACCCCCCGGCGTGCGCTTTCTCCTTCTGTCTCTCTTGGCGACGACTGGGCGACCGTCGCAGCCGCCCTAAGCCAGGTGCCCAGGCCATCTTCGGGCCCTTCGCCGGCGACGAGCACCACCAGGTACGCCCACCCCTTGGTCTTCCCTTCCTGATGTGCGAAACCGAGCACCCAAACCCTAACCCACTATTTGTATTCGGATCTGATCTAGTTACAAGTGTATATACATGTATTTTCCCTACTTAACTTCGATTGTTTTGCAAAAATCATCGGTGGTACATGTGTACACCCGTGTCCTTTACTGGGTCCGCACCTGTCTCTACTTTGCTGACGATGGTTTCAATTTCGAAGTGTGATTATTCAGCTAGGAATTTTCACCTGCAATAGCTTGACGCATTTTGCATTGTCTGTTGTTCAGGATTTAGCTTCAGTAGATACCATACCTGATACGTCGCATAAGTTTTGTGTTGATATTGACTAAGTACCGTAGCGTAACACGGATCTGTCTAATTTTTGCAATATGTGATGACTTTTCGTTTTTTTTTTTGAATTATGCAGGAATTTTCCCAGCTGCACCAATGATGGGTTGCTTCACTGTTCTCAGATCCAAGAAGAAGAAAATCCCTTTTGATAATCCTCTTGTTCCAAGCAATAAATCGGTTGATGCAAGGGAAAGTACGTCGTCTAGACTTCCGGAGCCAGAAGTTCATGTGCCATCTTTGCAATCAGCTCCTCCTAGTTTTAGGAACAGGACTAAGATATCCCAGTCGTCACATAAAGTTTCAAACAGCAGAGCTCGCGTGTTGTCTGCTCCATCAACACTTATTGTGGTCGATCAGTTTGGCTTTCCATTCGCCGAATACCGAGATCAAGACGACTCCAGGGATAAGGAAGGTTCGACAAAGGGGCCTCGCTTTTCAAATCCTTTGCCCCTTCCTCTTCCTTCACCGGAAGGACATTCTTTTAGGAATTCTGGTAGCTTCAAAGCCAGCAACGTAAGTGGGCCATTGGAGATGTCCGGCCCTCTCCCGTTGCCTCCAAAGAAATGCGATGGACTTAGAATCTTCTCTTATGAGGAGGTTTCATCTGCTTGCCAATGGTTTTCATGTGACCAGTGTGTTTCAGAAACAGTTGGTTCAACATCATACAAGGCAACATTTAGGGATGAATTTATTGATACGAAGACCACTGAAGCAACGGTAGCTCGTTTACTCCCCTCCACTCAGGTACCTTTCTCAGCCATTGATCTGCAAATTGCTTTTAAGGCCAATTTAAGCCATGAACTTGCACGCCCAACTTTCTAGGTTGCTCAGCTTGCCGATAGAGGTGTCTGGTGTTTTTATGGCATAGTTTGATACTTCAAGGACATACCATTCAGTAATTTTGCATCATTAATTATTCTGTTAGGGATCTGAGTTCAGGCTAGAGGATCAGACTCATTTTGTGGGCATGTGCTCAAATGCCTACTCTACTGACATATGCTAGGCTGGCCCTATAATGAATATGCCGTTCCATTTATTTTGAATGCTAATTAGTACCGCAGCAGGTGTGGTGTTAGGTAACACGTTTCTGAAGCAACCTTGTAGTTGATCTTGCCTTTACTATTTACTGCAAGATGCTTTCTGTACTCTTTCTCATTTGTTCTTTATTTTGTCTCCAGTCAGTTCTTATGTTGCGCCAAGCCCTGTCAATGTTTATTTTGGTTTTTGAGATTTCATGCCTTCTATTGCATGTAGTTTTAAATGTGTGGCCTTCCTTGATGTAGAGAACGTTGGTCTGATACCCACTCAGGAAGTATTTTGGAGTAAATGCAGCTGCTAGCTTGAAATGGTTGTTGTAGCTTAAAAAATTTAAATGATCAATTGGACATTATTACATGTGTTACAATAGGCTGATCCACCTATATTTGCTATCTAGCTCATTCTGCTGATGTAACATATTGATATATTGTTTATCACCTGCAGAGTTTGAAGGAGTTTAAAACACAAGCGACCACATTGGCATCGCTTCAGCATCCCAATTTATGTAAACTGATTGGCTATTATGCAAAAGAAGATTCTAATGAAAGGATGTTGGTCTATGAACGGCTTCATCATGGGAGCTTAGATAAGCTACTCTTTGGAAGACCAGATGGTCGTTTCATGGACTGGTCTAAACGTTTGAAGGTTGCCCTTGGCGCAGCCAGAGGTCTTGCTTTCTTGCATGATGAAGGACCCTTTCAGGTGAGCATGCTACTTGATTTGTCGTCTTATCATATTATGCAAAAGTTGTGCTTTTAATTTTTTAATTGGCTTTCAACCACATTATCTTACAGCACTGAGCCGCTGACTTTAACTTGTATTTCCATTTGTTTTCAGGCCATGTACAGCGAGTTCTCAACTGTGAACATCCAAATAGATAAAGATTTCACTGCTAAGCTTTCAGGATATGGTTGTGTTGGCTTCAATACTGAGGAGATATCTAATGCACCTGCGGTATGTTCTTGTATGACTATGAGTATAATTTAGAATTTTATGTTGTCCCTTTAGTGGCAGCACAACTTATGTCTCATTCCCTTCCATTGGTTCCAAACTTCCAATAGTATCCTCAACACTATAAGTTTGCATGGGTACATATTTTATTTTGTTATAAGTAACATTGGGTTAAGTTAACAAGAATATATGTATAATATTGTGATATAAACCTGCATCATACCTGTTAATTGACCGATATCGTATTGTTCACTAGAGATCTGTTTTCTTCAGTCTGCAGCAAACCTTTCGGTGGAGACCTTGGAGAAGGGTTTACTCACTCCCAAGAGCAACGTCTGGAGCTTTGGAGTTGTGTTACTGGAGCTAATAACTGGAAGGAAGAACCTTGATGCCAATTCTTCTAAAGAAGAACGCAATATTGTCAGGTGGAGTAGGCCTTTCCTTACTGATGATAGTCGCCTATCTCTGATCATGGACTCCCGTATAAAAGGGCGCTTTCCCACTAAGGCTGCTCGGATAGTAGCAGACATCATTCTGAAGTGCTTGCATAGAGATCCATCAGAGAGGCCAACCATGAGGGATGTTGTGGAGGCCCTAGCAAGAGTCCAGGAAATAAAGGTTCCGTGCAGATATCCTCTACAAGAACCTTCTGCTGCACCAAGAAAAATAATGTTAAAATCTACATCCCTCAATGGAATTGTGCCTCATCATCCTGTCATAACCTTCTCTCCATCGCCGCCTTCACATAACCAACACTTGATTTCACCAAGGTCATCAACATCTGCCTTGTTCCATCCAAGGACATGCTCTTCTACTCTGGATGATCCCGGTGTAAGCTCTATAAAGAAAACACCTCCTATTATGCGTAGATCTAGCGTTGAAGGCTTTTGATTGTCCATATTGTTCTTTTATTTCCTTTTCTTGGATTTATTTGTTTCTTTGTTATCCTAGTGATTTTAGCTATGTTCTGTATTGTAAGATAAGTGGCCTTATGTAGTGCCCTTGGGTCTCGAGTAATAACTAAGCAGAGCAGGATGAATTGTAATTAGGATCAGGTTGTAGATACCTTTTTGTGCTCTAATTGGGTGGAAGCAGCGTGCTGAGTGGGTCTTGTAACCTCATAATGCAATAAACTCGTTTCCCAGTTTCTGTTCACCCTGTCCGTACGCCAAATGTCTGCTGTTTCCTTTGGTGCCAAGTGTTGGGTGCCTTGTGTTGTTGCTTGTCGGCAAGCATTTGTGTTATCGAATGTCTCTATCCACATGATCTCATGTGGCATGTTGCAGCCGGTACAAGGAAACTGTTCATGATATCTGTTGCATTAGTTAGAGATGTTGAATTCCTGTCTGGAAAGTTTGTTTAATCTGTCGTTGCAATTGTTGACTATGACCCCAGCCTGATTGCTTCTCTGCCTGTAGCTCCTCAATTGCTAGTCATGCTTTTGGCGAGCGTCCATTTCTGCTGTATTCTTGATTTTTCTTCCCGGCACATGTTAGTATCTTGTTGGTTTCATGGTGTGTAGTTTACGATGCTGTAACGTAACGGTAGGTAGTGCAGATTTGTTGTATCGTTATTAGTCCAACTGATTGTTTATGGTCTTATTTCTATCAATTTCTGTTAAATGGTTTGAACGTCGGGCGGGGAGTCACAGCGATTTCTTTAGTATTCTATCTACTGCACGCCAGAAAGATTAGTCCATCTGCAGATTTTGCTTGGTAATGCTATATATGCTCTTTTGACCTGTAGGCAGGCAGTGGTAGGAGGATAGAAATCTCCAGTTCTCCACCAACTCACCCTCTGTCTGCCGGTTGGTGATGTCTGCTCTTTTTGACTGGTTTGTTTTCTACAGGAATGTGAATGGCTAGAACCAGCCGTGATTCTATGAATCATCAGGAGCAGTATATGACTGAACAAAAATGGCTGGATTCAGCGTCACAGCTATGCAAATACAACTGATCTTGAACCGAAAGTCCGATGCATTCGCTCGCCTACTGTCACCCTTTGCCGGCGAGCCGAACCAAAATCAGGTGTATGGTCGTTGGATCGATCTGGTCAGCGGGAGTGATTTATCCAAGAACAAAAATCAACATGTACAATTTCGTAGTGGCCAAGCACGTGCTGCCGTCTTTTGTTGCCAAAAGTGCCTAAGGCACCTTTGCTAACATGCATTTCAAATGAAAAAAGTCTACTTAACCCTCCCACCTTTCGTACTTGGTCTACTTCACCCCCAACTATAAAACCGTCTGTTTTACCCTCTGAATTTTTTAAAACCGTCTATTTTATTCCCCGGACGGTTTTTGACAGCGGTTTGCTACAGTAACAGCGGGTGATACCCCACCTCTAATTAATTACAGACAAAATTAGATTATCCAATTAATCTAAGGCTATAGTAAAAATTTTGTACTAAAGCATACCGTATTATATATTCACTGTGTAGATCTACTCATGTGGAGTCCAATAAAATTAGATTTTTTATTTTATGATTTTTCTATGATTTACTATGATTTTTCAAAAATTCACCGAAAATAAATAAAAAAAAAAAGAAAATTCAAACCCACCGACAGTGTAGCAAACCCACCGTTACTGTAGCAACCCACCGTACTGTAGCAGCCGCTGTCAAAAAACCGTCCGGGGGGTAAAATAGATGGTTTTGGAAAGTTCAGGGGGTAAAGCAGATAATTTCATAGTTGGGGTAAAATAGACCAAGTATGAAAGGTGGAGAGTTAAGTAGACTTTTTCCCATTTCAAATAAAGACAACAGCTACCAGAAAACAACAGATGGGTAAGCCACTACTAGTACTATAGAAACAACCTTTGAACCTTATGAGAGCATGACTAAAAATACGGTTCACTGCTGGTTGTAGCTATATCTATAGTTTATTCATGTAGTATTTGGTTATTAGAACATTTTCATCATTAATGTTTGAGCTCTTGCATCAACAAGTTGTAATTACATTCCACCTGTCTTCTCTCTTCTCCACTACAATATTCTTCTCTCCCCCAACCTCAGCATAAAGTCCACTTATAGGCCTTGTTTGCTTGTTTTATAATCCGTACTTTTCAGCTTGTTTTTTCAGCCGGAACAGTGTTTTTTCTCACAACAAATCAGCGGAACAGTGTTTCGGCTTGTTTTTCAGCAAAGCGAATGGGACCATAATCCCTTATTAATCGGTTCACCAAAATGGTCGTTTAGTCTGTTTAAACAACGTTTAAATAGTAAACGAAGGCCACTCATGTTGTTTAGGTCCTAAACGGTGAACTAAACGATTGGACCGTTTAAACCGTTAAAAGCCGTCTAAGGGGTCTAAATATCATCATGTTAAACATGATTAAATGAGCTAAAAGGTCATTAAATTCACTATATTTACTTATTTAGTTAATAAGAGAATTACAACTACCATATTCGGCATTCAACTAATTAACATTTGTAAGTATATATGGTGGAGTGGGATTTATTTTTTTTTTTTATAAAAAAATTGATAGATAACTCATTTTTACATACAGAAATATGTATACTTTAAAGCATATTTGTTTTTTACATACATAAATATATGCATTTCAGTGTTACTCTACCAAACTGTTTAGACCATTTAACTCTGTTTAAACACCATCTAAATAGCCTAAACGCTAAATAAAGGGCGACCGACTGTTTACTGTCTAGCGTTTAGGATAACAGTTACACTTGCTCAAAGCCAACAAAAAAAAAAGACAAAATGCATGGAAGAGAAGCAACCCATAAGCCACCATGCAGGCCTTAGTAGCAGAAGGCATGATCAAGTGTGCATTACGAGTTCGTGACCACTGCTGCCGTAGGGCCGTCTATTCGTTCGACCTACGCCTATATGAGGTGCCACACTGTCGCTGCCACATGTACACCTAGTGCCAGATCGAAGGGGTCATGCCATTTTTTTTTCCGAATCACGCTAGAAACGCAAATGCTTATTCCATATAAACACACGCACGCACACTCTTGCCTTTGTTTGTTCCCATGGAGCTGATGATACTTGGACTTGCTCCGGTGTCTAGTATTTTTTTTATAGCCCCTTTGTGTCATTGTGTGCAAATGTGCAATGGTTTAGATCCTGATTTTAAGTAAGACATTAAGACTTCGCAATTCGTCTTTGAGGGCATGTTTTGCACATACCCTCACGCCGTCACGCCCTCTTCTCATCTCTTTGGACTGCTGCCGTTTGGCGAGTGAGTGAGAGTGACCACTCCCTCCAATCCTCTGATTCCCGCGACCTGCGCATCGTCGCTCGGCTATTGGACTCGGGCCACAGGGTCACCAGCCAGGCCAAGGAAATGGCACACAGGCCCATTAGAGAGTTTCCCACCGGCCCACCAGTTGAAACCGGCAAAAGTTTTCTTTTCTCACCGACCACAACTACTCAATAAAGCTCTGATTTTCCCCTAAAAAAAATAAAGCTCTGATTTTCTTTTCTCATACAGTAGCAATTTGTTCAGTGTACTCACTAGCCCGTTGTTGATGCATCGTTGGGATGTTTTTCTTCCCAACGATATGGATGCACATAAGACATGGAAACAAATGAGCGATATTTGCATGCCATGCATAGAAGACATTATTATGGAAACAAATGAGCGAAATTCAGCAGATGTCATCTGCGGCGGCAGTAGGCAGGGTAGGAGAGCCTCCTCCGCGTCGCCGCCGTAGGTGCGAGCAAGCCAGACCCAGAACACGACGACGCCGACGACGAACGCGGCGACGAAGCCGGTGCATCCCGCCAGCACGCGGGCGTCCTCGACCTGGAGGCCAAAGACGACGCCCTCCATCATGCTGATGACGCAAAAGCCGACGACCCAGACCCCCACGTCGACGATGTTGTCGGCGACGGCCACCGGCGTGCGCGGCAGGAAGAGCTCCGCGTAGGATTGGGCCCCGAAGAGGAGCGACAGGTAGGCGCTCAGCGCGAGCTGCAGCGCCAGCCGCCACGCGACGTCCGTGAAGAAGGAGCGTCCAAACGAGTAGACCTGGATCAAGGGGATGCCCACGAGTACGGCGATCTGGCAGAAGACGGCCGTCGTCCACCTCTGCTCGCGCGAGATACCTGCGCCAGCGACTCCCCGAGCGTCTGCGGCGGCGTATCCATTGATCGGATCGTTGGTACGTACATATGTGTTATCTATAGGGAAGCCTAGCTATATAGGAGTATGGCCGTCTTGGATTCTACATCGAACATATATATATGGAAGCGATAAACATGTGTTTTCTTTTTAGGGAAAAGCGATGAACATGCTAGTGTACAGGGTCATAGGGAACCGCAAAACCAAGCGCAGTTTTGGGGAGATTTTCACGAACCCACCCAGTACCGGAGAGATAGCACCACGCCACCACGCTCAGCTCGAGCGCTGGGATTGAAGCGGAGGAAACGCCTGGAGTTCTCTGATAGTCTGATCTAATTATTCCTGGTGGACGCGCTGGAATCTGTCTGCCGCGGTGGTTTACTTCTCTCCGTGTCCGCCGGAATCCACCTACCGGCTGAGCTTTCCGGTATTTGCCGCCCCTAATCTGCCCTAGATCGAATGGTTCTCTCGAATCTCTAGCGCTGCTCGATGGTAAAGGGTTATCGCTTCGAATCGTATTTACAGTTGCTTAATATTATTAGACTATGCAGGCAAAATTACTGAATCAGGTGTTCTAACTTCTAACCCACCCTCCAAAGTTGGTTGTATTGTGTCGTAGCATTCAAATTAGTGTGCGCTGTTGTGAATCTGTATTGGTCATATGAAAGCCAATGCCTTGCACTGCTATTGCACCTGTGAATCTGAACTTTTGCATGTATTCTAGTGGCCATTTGTGTTGGCAGTTCATTTGTTGGCTAATCCAGATTTTGTGGCAATTAACTGATTTAAGTGTGAAGAAGTTTGTCATTCCACACTATCGAGCATCACTACCTGAAGATAGGATCTCTAGATTGACGTTGCAGAGTGCAAATTGGTGATGTTCCCAACTGCTTGTTTATGAATATTCGGCGTAAGACATGTTTTGTCTTCTTTTTCTACTCACAGAATTTTATTCACACCGATTTATGTCATTGTGTTGATCATGTCTAGCATTTCAAATGCTGTTTTAAGCTTGCATAGAAATTCTCCTTCCCATTGGAGTCCCTTCAATGACGCTTCAGTGTTCTATTCCGGAATTGGGGTGTCCTTTTACATTTTTTTTCAATCATCGGCTATCATTTTTATTTCTGTATTCTTTATCTGTCTTTTTGTTTCTTTAACCAGACAGTTACTTTTTTTGGTTGCTGTCCTCCTATTACCAGGTGCAATTGGAACTAATACAAGGAAAAGGCCAATGCTAGTCTACTATCAGCAGCTTGAGTGTGAAGCTCAGGATCCTAACTCAACAGTGGCAGACCACACCACAAGCACTATACTGCTAGGATGGAAAGATGAACTCCCTTGATCATCAGAAAAAAGTTCTGCTCGGAGTAAATGGCCTATCTCTCAAGTTCAGGGAATGGCTGAGAAGTGAAGATTCAGATGATCAAACTTCAGAAAATTAGAAAAGCACACTGTTTGTTTGTTATGCGCTCAGAGATTTGAGCTATGCGTTTCAGTACTGGCCTGTACAGCTAGATTGAGGACACCATGGACACATTTGCTTGACAATGAGGTATAATATCCTTAGGGTAATCTGCAGGCTGCCCTTATCCAACGGTTTGTGCAATAGCATCTTTATTCATTTGGTTTTGAACTGATATTATATGTTAATCTGCTATATGCATCAGTCACAAGCAGTTAATTACTCAATCAACAGTTGCCAGTTACCTGTGAAATAGCGATGTTATCCTTTCTTATTTGAAATTTTAATAATGCATGAATGACTTTTCTCATCTTGGGTTCATTAACTCCAGAATCCAGATTGCAAGGTTCTTCATGCTATCTTTGACACTTCACCATATCCGGCCTTACTGCGCTGCCATTGTAAGTTTACTTTATATGTCTCAGTCCAAGCAGTCTCTTATGTGATGCTGATTAGTTTCAGAGTTTGTACCTTGCTGAACCTGTGTACATAGGTGTATTCATTGCTGAACCTGTCTGGGAAATCGCTTTGAAGTTGTATACTTGCAAGTTAAAACCAATCACATCTCTTATGTGAGTCTTGAAACTTTTTGGCCTTGTCAATCGATATATTGCAGAATCGAACTCACTACTGTTATTATTTCTGGTTCCTGGGTTAGTGTGCTAACGTGACCTGCTTCTATTATTCTCTGTTAGTCTGTTATAGATGTGTGCTCCGTGCTCCGATCCATATGTGCTTGTAATTTGTAAAGCTTGCGGCAGTGAAATATGGTAATGTCACTGGGAGGTGTGGGGAAACAGTTCTGGTTCCCACTCTATAGGTCAGGTCAGCACTGCCCACTGGTCCATACATTCCTTTTCCCTTTTTCCTTTATGTCTCTTTGCCTTTAACATGATGCCTACCCCTGCTGTCCTGCTTTTGGGCAATATAGTTTTCATAATCTGGATCTATGTTCTTGGTCATTGACTCATTGGGTCATACTAAAGTTTTTTTGGACTAATGAATGGATTTACAGGTATTTGTGTTCACTTGACATCAGTACTGTTTGTTTAACAGAATTTTTGAAATTGCATGTGCCATTCACCATTAAAAATGATAAAGTAAATAAAAAACTATTGTTATTTGATTCTGTTTTGTATGCTTGCTATGTTTTTGAACTTCCTAGATCTGCATTTTCTAGCCATCACACCCTTTTGGTACACAATTGTTGCTCGCCTTTCATGGTGTCTGGCCTTCTGTAGAGCAATATGAGCTGTCTGCAACAATAATTATCTGAACATCGCTTGCTCCACGATCTCCTAGCCATATCTATTTTGCTTAGCATTTTCATATCATCGCTGCTACAGCATTTTACCAACTACTGGGACATTTTAAGAATCTGAGATAAGATTTGGTGAAGAGCATGGATTTGTTTGTGATATTCTATATAGTAGGTAGTCTTCTTGTGACTAGCATGTTCTTTGTACTAAAGAATGGGATGCACAGTTAGCACGGCAATTATTCTTTGGCTGCTAGTTCACTAGACACTGGCCTACCTTGCTTGAAGTTGGTCACACTAGTGACTAGTCAAGTATACTCCCCAGCATTAATTCCTCTAAGCATGACCTGGAAAGCTGCTTGACTGATGCTCTAACATTTTGATATTTCTGTTTCCTGCTTTTTGGAGGTGGTAGCCCTCTCTTTGGGGAGGCTTCTGGTTAAACTTGCTTCAGTGGCGATGTTACTTTGCTGGATAAAGAAGATGCCAAAGGTGCAATCTCTCACAATGCTGTTGTATTATGATTTGCTTTCTCCCCCCTGATTTAATCATGTTAATAATGGCATGAATGGATAGCCTTTTGCTACCAGAGCTAACAGAAATCGTCATGTTCCATTTTCGTATGATGTGTAGCTGAACTTTGGAGTTTTACATTTGCAGTTCCAAGTGGTAGGAATGTGCTGACAAAGCAAATCAAAACCCTTTTCCAAGAACAGGACCATATAATAGTATCCTTTTTCCCTTTTATTTTGACCAGAATCTCCATATCTTTTATCTGCGGAGTTGAGATACTTGCAACTATCCATAATGTTCTTCGAACCCTAAGCTACACTGCTACAGCTCTTGCTCCAGCTATTACTTGCCTACTCTCTTTTTTTCTATCAATAATGCTTGCTGACTTATTGAAACAAACCAGTCTTCCCTTTGTTTGGTTTCAAATTTTGAGAGCTTTCCTTAAAAACAGCCGGAGGCTGGATTGGTTATGTGCAAAACTATATTATAGAGACCGGAATAAAATTTCTATTTTCTAAGAAAATAGAAATAAACCAAATACAAGTCCAACTATGTGCAATGTACGAGAACAACTTAAAATAGGGGAGATACTATATCCTAGTGGTGCTTGATTTTCATTTTTTCACGTTTATTATCCATATGATGCAAGTGAACGCTAGACCAGTTGGTCTGGCTGTACGCTTTGCATCCTGTCATTCAGAGTTCGAACCCCCTCGGGGGCGAATTTGTTGGCCGGAGGAGACGTAGTTTATCTGCGTGTTGAAAAAAATCCATCATCTGTCACACGCCAAAGCATAGGTTTAAGGTCAGTCCAGTCTTACGGGAGCTACGGTGCTGCTGTGTATGGGTGGGACAGAGGTTCTGGAGTTTTCTCGACCTGCGTAAAAATGTTTCTTCTTAAACACAATGCCTGAGGGGTGTATTATCCCCGTGGGTCGAATTTTTTTTTATCCATATGATCAGGATTTCTATGGCCCGGGTCATGTACTCGTGTTAGTACTGTAGCGTCTTTTTCCGTCTCCCTCGACATTGTCCGTCTTCTTCCCTGCTTGGGCTGTGGGCCCCCCTCTCCTCTTTTTCGGCTCCTCAATGTTGTGTCCATTGCTGGGTTTGTCACCACCTCCCCGTGTCCAGGCTAACCCTTCCATTTCGATGCCCCACCAGCCCTGTACAGCCTGCGGCACTAGCATTGCTGTTGTCGCCTTGTTTGCAACGTCGACTCGCCGAGCTGCCTCCCTGGCGCTCCCTCTAGGCCTACCATTGGAGAGCACATTCCAAACCCAAAGTAAGGCCTAATTGATTGGCTTTCAATTCTTGTCCAGCCAAAACTATGGCATGTCAAAATTTGTAGTTATTAATTGATTCATTGTCAAAGAATTGTCATACCAATATTTATGGCTAAAGTTTTAGCAAGTCTCTAGAAAGCTCTTAAACTACATATAAAAGATATAATTGGCAAGTCTTAATTTTGGCAGCCAATCAAATGTACGGCTATGTTTTTTTCCCTAACTTTGGTAGCCTTGATTTTGTCAAACCTAAGTTTTGACTTGTCATAATTTTGGTTTGACAAAAATTGATAGCCAAACAATCAGACTCTAGACCTCATCTTGCCTAACCAAGATAGAATTTTCGCGAAGGATGCTGCTGTTTTTTTTTTCTTGCTACCGCATAATAAACTCATATTATTTTAGGCATGTGAAATTTCTTGCTACCGCATAATGAATTCGTATTATTTGAGGCATGTGAAATCTATGAGTTGTGCTAAAATAAAGTGCAAACCTTTCAAATCTTCCTTCGTGCCTTTGGTTCTAATGTGAAAAGCGTGACGGTCGATACCCAGCTTCCTCTATGCCAAATTTGAGCAAACACTATCAGTCACTTGAGGAAGGAAGTGAGTTTAGCTCAACTGATTGGATTAGAGATGTGGTAATGCATCTAACCATTAAGATGGAGTTTCTTCAACTCGAATTTAGGTGTATATTTTCTTCTCAGTGAAAACCGCTTGCTTCCTCCTAGGTTGGTCACATGAATTTTTTTTCACTGTCAGTGAACTAACAAGACGCATAGAACAAATCTGCACATGCCGCCTCCACAAACAAAGCAGCTACAGAGTACAGCAAGTGTTCTGTAAAGTCAATTAGTAGAAAACTTGTCTTTAACAATAGCATAGTTTAAAGCAAGGTGACAGAGCCTGCTATTGAATCATTCTTTGCATAAAGCAACAGGCATCTGCATGTGGGTGTGGATCTCAGAAGGTTACTTGTGCAGAAAGACTAATTGAGACGCATTATGAGAGACATCAGCGACACAAGCAGCCCTGTGGCCTGTGGGGGACATCATCAGCAAGCCTACTGCTCCTGCATGATTCTCCCCTCACCACAAAGCATCCCGGTTTGCCCTCCCGCGTCCTGCCCTCTCATACTGCATGTATCTTAATCCCTTGCGTAATTTATGTATGACACAGCTGCATCATGCATCAACGAAACCGTATCTTGGATCCACATGTCAGTAATATAGTATTATTGTCTATTCGATAATGTTATAATAATAATATACAGTCATTGGTTATACAACCCTTTGTTTACTTATATACTCCTTCGATTCAGCATAGAAAATTTGTAGTGGCTTTGCAAGGAATCTGATCTCACTTGACATACTGTTTTCTTTAAACTTGATTACCAGTGAATCACTGAATAAGTACCATTGCAAATATTTTTCGTCTCTGACTTTGGCGGTAAATTTTGAATGTTTAAACTATAGGTGTTTTTGGCTCATTTAAACTCCATGCAATGGCTAAAAATTGATGTGGAAAGAGTGGCTTGGAATTTGGATGGCATCTAAACAAGGCGTTGATTACCAGTATCACTGATTGACTTTGGCGGTCAATTTTGAATGTTTCAAATAGGTGTCCATGAGTTTGTTCACGGATTAATTTTTAGGTTGATAAGTCCAACCGATCCTAATTTAGTGTGAAAAAAACAGTTTTAGTTTATTTGATAAACCTTGGCTTTAAACAAACAAATTTTTTTATTCTCTTTTCATTATATTAAATTTTTGAATACCTGAATGCTGCCAATATTAAATATAGATAAAAAATAATTACTTCACATTGAATGCCCCTGTTCTGAACAAAAGCGGCCGGTGTAGTAAATGAAAGTTGTTGGCACACATTGAATACAAGCAACCTTCAGACACTGCCGACAAACGTAGGCCTGGAAGCTGGAAATTGTTCTCCCAAAATTTTACAAAATTTTTCAAGATTTTCCATCACATTAGATCTTTGAACATATGCATAAAGCATTAAATATAAATAAAAAATAAAACTAATTACACAGTTTAGACAAAATTCACGAGACAAATTTTTGAAGTCTAATTAGACTATGATTGAACACTAATTGCTAAATAACAACGAAAATATTATAGTATCATTTCTCGAATAATTTCGCCAACTAAACGTGGCTTTGGAATCGTAAACTTGGCAAATCTCCGACGCCATAAGAAATCTGGAAATTCCTATTGTTTTGAACTGCCATAAAAAATGGTTAGAGGGTGTTTACTTCGCATTGAATGCCCCTGTTCTGAATATTTAAAAGCGAGCCGGTATAGATTAATTATGATAGATGGAGGTTGGCGACACACAATTAATATCAAGCAACCTTCAGTAACACTGCTGACAAACGTAGGCCTAAAAGAAGCTGGAAATTAGTGAAGTTATGCAATTAAACTTGGTTTATAAATCTCCGACGCCAATTCCTATTGTTTTGAACTGCCATAAAAAATGGTTAGTTGCTTGGTCGCATAAACTTAAGTTCTGAAACCAGCCTCTCCACTGTTATTAATAACTGTATCTCTGATGATTAGCTTATTGTTTTTAAGGCTGTGATTATATCCTTGTTGTGGTCGGTCTAGGATGAATCTAAAAAATAAAATGGAAGATTTGAGATATAAAATTATATAAAAGTGTAATAGCAAATTTAGTCCCTCTTTTGGATCAATGAAAAAAATAGAGGAATTCTAATGGATCGAAAATCTTATAGAAAAATTTTCCTCTGAAGCTGTTTGGAACAAAGGATTGAGTTCCTGTAGATCGTATGAAGTTCCTATGGAATGGCGTATTTTATAGGAATTTTGTTGAAGTTCTACCAAGAAGATGAATCTTATGAAAAGTTTCTTTTTGTCGCTCTCTCATCGAAATTTATTTTCATGTGCTCTATTCAAACGATCAAATCTTATAGTTTTCTGTGTTCTATGTTTTCTCAATCCATAGAATTTAAGATGTTAGGATATTTTATTTCTATGTTTTTATAATCCTAGGTTCTAAAGAGTCCCTTAGGCGTAGTACAGTGACTAAAAATAGGAAGATATAGGTCCACTTTGGTAAGAGAAACTGAAGGCAAGTAAAATTTTTGGGTAAGAAAATTTTTGTTGAACCGTAACAAGCACATGGCTTGTACAATTTGTGTTGTAATAATGTGGACATCTGTCACATGGATTGTTACATACTAGACCTCTTTCTGGATTATGGATAAAATTACAATAATCTAGATTATGAATTGTACTTTCTCCATTCTAAATTATAAGTTGTTTTGTTTTTTTCTAATTGCATAGCTTTTATTGTATATTTTAACTGGCCTATATTTAGGTGCATAGAGTAACAATATAACTAAAACAATTAGATTAACTTATAATTTAGAACAGAGGGAGTAATAATCTAGACTATTTCGATCTCTAGATTGTATAGGTGGATTACTATTAATTGGAGTACAAATAATCTATAATCTTGAAAAAAAAATATTTGAGATAAATTGTAGGACTACAGTAACCTAATGGTTTATTGTTATAATCAAATCCATGATTTGAGGTGTTTGGATCACCTTTACATTGTTTTATCTGGTCACTATAATCTAGTACTAGTTGGTATCAACGCTCTAGAACCTATTTGATTTAATTTATACTCCATCTATTCTAAATTATAAGATGTTTTAATTTTTCTAGATGCATTGTTTTTACTATGGGCTTGTTTGATAGGGCTTTGGCTCCTCTAAAAATGACTCTGGCTCTGGCTCCTTTGAAGGAACGGCTTCTCTAAAGGAGCAGAAGCCTTTTTGAAAAACGTTTGGTAAAATGACTTCTCATGTTTTGGCAAGTAAAATTTTTGGGTAAGAAATTTTTTTGTAACAAGCACAAAACATTTTGGTAAAATGACTTCATGGATTGTTTTAGGCTCATTTGATAAAATTCAATAATATTATGAAAAATTCTAAATTATAAGTTTTTTTTGCTAACCACATTTTTATTGTATATTTTAGCACATATTTGTGTCATGAGAAATATAACTAAAAAAATTGTTTCTTATAAAGCAAAAGAGAATATCCATAGTTGTATTGTATAGGTGGATTACTATTAATTAGAGTAAAATATTAACTTGAAAAAAAATTTAGTCTAAAAATCTAATGGTTTATTGTGAAATCAAATCCATAATCATGTTTGATCTTATTTTATACATTGTTTTCCATTAATCTAGTACTAGTTGGTATGAACGCTCTAGAACCTATTTGATTTAATTTGTACTCCATCTATTCTAAATTATAAAATATTTTAACTTTTCTAGATGCATTGTTTTTACTATGGGCTTGTTTGATAGGGCTTGACTCCTCTAAAAACGGCTCTGGCTCTAGCTCCTTTGAAGGAACGGCTTCTCTAAAGGAGCAGAAGCCTTTTTGAAAAACGTTTGGTAAAATGACTTCTCATGTTTTGGCTCCTTTGATGGTCGATATTAAAAAGGTTATTTTGCACCACGTTTACATGGAAGAGTTAGCACAAAATGTGTCATGAGAATAAAGAAAAATGTTTCAAGAAATATAGAATTTCCATAGTTGTATTTCTAAATAAAAATATTAACTTTTAGTCAAAAAATAAAATATAATCATGTTTGATCTTATTTTATTCCATTAATTATAAATAACATCATGGTCAAAACGATACACGGTTTAGAAGAAAATTGCTTTTCAAAATTTCGAAACCACACTATTTGTTTAGTCATGGCCCACTCACTTTTCATTTGCTCAGACATCAGACTCCTCCAGCCAACCATGGCTATGCACGTGGCTAGAGAAAAGGAGAGGAGCCGCAAAAGCCCTAATTTGGGGCTCCCGTCTGCCTAGTTCATTTTCTAGGCCGTTCTGTATGGAGACGTTTGGTAGGGCTTTAGCAGGAGCCGTAGCGGTTCCTCAAAAAAAACTCAGAAAAAAACAGGGGCGGGAGCCGAAGCTGCTGCTCGAGAAGTCCTACCAAACAACCCTAGATATATTGTATATCATGTATATAGCAATAGGTATATATATCTAGAAAAGTCCAAAAGTATTTTAATTTGAAAATTGAAATGGAGGGAATACTTTGTAAGAACGTGCGAGCAGTAATCCATAGTCTAAGCGGGAACTGAAATAGCTAAACCTTCAAAATACACGGCGCATGTACAGCACAAGACACTAGCTCTTGATGTTTATTTTTTTTTCTTTTGCCTTTTCCCCAAAGGAATATCTAATTGAAGGAACTAATAAACAATGAATTTTCAGGATTTAAGTAGATATTTATAGCTGCAGAAACACGAAGAAATTAATTATTCAGAAAAATCATATCCATTTAGGCAAAAGCTTCGGCTGGTATTATTCTGGCACTGTTCATGCTGGAATTTACTGTCCATACCGAAATTTTGTGAGTGCTCCGGCTGGAAAAAAACAAACAAACCAGCCGAACACAGATCATTTTGTCCATTCCTACTTGTTCTACTCGTAGCACATTAATAGCGCAAGGGCTCCCTCCTCTCCTACTCGCTCCTCCCCTCTCCCCGCTGGTGTCTGGCTGACTGCTCCACGCCGCGCGCGCGACCACGCCCACCACCACCACCACCGCGCTGCACTGCGCCACCACCCCTCTTCCCCGCACTGCCCCAGAACTGCTCCGCGCAAATGGACAGAGCACCGCTGTGATCCCTCCCCCCTCCTCGTCCTCCTACTGCCAGCCGTGTCGCGATGGCCACCGCCGCCGCCGCCTGCCCTCTCCTGCTCCTCGCCGCGCTACTCCTCGGGGCGGCCGCCACCACGAGCGTGCTCACCGACGACGTCCTCGCACTGGTGGTCTTCAAGACGGACGTCTCGGACCCGTCGGGCCGCCTCGCGACGTGGACCGAGGACGACGATCGCTCCTGCTCCTGGCCGGCCGTTGGCTGCGACGCGCGCACGGGCCGCGTCACCTCGCTCTCGCTCCCAGAGGCGTCGCTCTCGGGCCGCCTCCCGCGCGCGCTCCTCCGCCTCGACGCGCTCCTCTCCCTCGCACTCCCGCGCAACAACCTCTCCGGCCCCGTGCTCCCCAACCTCCTAACCGCGCTCCCTCGGCTCCGCTCCCTCGACCTCTCCTCCAACCGCCTCGCCGCGCCCGTCCCCGCCCAGCTCTTCGCCCAATGCCGCGCCGTCCGCTCCATCTCCCTCGCGCACAACCAGCTCTCGGGCTACATCCCGCCCGCCGTCGCGTCCTGCGCATCGCTCGTGTCCCTCAACCTCTCGTCCAACCGCCTCGCCGGCCCCATCCCTGACGGGCTCTGGTCGCTGCCTTCGCTCCGGTCTCTCGACCTCTCCGGCAACGAGCTCTCCGGGAGTGTGCCTGGTGGATTCCCCCGGACCAGCTCGCTGCGGGAGGTGGATTTGAGCCGAAACCTCCTCGCCGGGGAGATACCGGCGGATGTCGGCGAGGCGGCGCTGCTGAAGTCACTGGATTTGGGGCATAACTTGTTCACTGGCGGCTTGCCGGAATCGCTCCGGAGGCTGACCGGCCTGCGGTTCCTCGGCGCCGGCGGCAATGCGCTTGCAGGTGAGCTGCCGGAGTGGATCGGGGAAATGTGGGCGCTGGAGCGCCTTGATTTCTCGGGCAACCGATTTGCCGGCGACATTCCCTACACCATCGCCAACTGCAAGAACCTTGTGGAGGTCGACCTAAGCCGAAATGCGCTCACCGGCGATCTTCCCTGGTGGGTGTTCGGCCTACCGCTGCAGCGCGTCTCGGTGGCAGGCAACCAGCTGAATGGGTGGGTGAAGGTGCCCGACGACGCAGCAATGGCGCTTCGTGTGCTGGACCTGTCGAGCAACGCGTTCTCCGGCGAGATCCCGCTGCGGATCACTGTCTTTGCGGGCTTGCAGTCTCTGAACCTGTCCTCGAATTCCTTTTCGGGGCAGCTGCCGGCCGGCATTGGTGGGATGAGGCTCCTCGAGGTGCTGGACGTGAGCGCTAACCGACTTGAAGGAACCGTGCCGCCGGAGATCGGCGGTGCGGTGGCGCTCCGGGACCTGCGGATGGGGAGGAATTCGCTCACGGGACGCATCCCGTCGCAGATTGGGAACTGCAGCTCCCTCGTTGCACTGTAAGTAAATTCTTGTTTTCCCCCTTTACTTTCTACGGGCCTCGCTTAGATTGCAAGTTTTTTCACTCTCTCCATTACATCGAATCCTTGACACATGCATTGATTATTAAATGTAGATAAAAAAAATAACTAATTACACAGTTTGATTGTAAATTACGAGACGAATCTTTTGAGAAAGTGATGTAAGACAGTGATTGGATAATAATTATCAAATCTGAAACCCAAACCTTTATAGTATGCTCATCCCTTTCTTAGATTCGATTCTTAACCCTAATCAACTGAAGTCAAATGTCTACATCAGCATGATTTGGAATGCTCGTTCTCGAATTAGCTAACTGTTTAGTTCCTAAAATTTTGTAAAATTTTTCAAGATTTCCCGTCACATCGAATCTTTGACGCATGCATGAAGCATTAAATATAAATAAAAAATAAAATTAATTACACAGTTTAGACACAAAATTCAGGGGAGGTCTAATCTTTTTAAGCTAATTAGACTATCCTTGATTGGACACTTTCCTGATCAAATAACAACGAAAATGTCTACATCAGCACCATTTCCTATGCATATTCGTTCTCCAACTAAATAAGGCCTTAGACTAATTTAAGCTCAATCCACTGTACTACTTACTTAGTATGACCCACCTTAAAAATCATTATGACTGATACAAAGTTGTGCTCTTCCAATGCAGGGATTTCTCACACAATAACCTCACGGGGCCAATTCCTAGCACCATGGGAAACCTGACAAGTCTCCAAGTGGTCAATCTCTCTCAGAACAAGCTGAACGGGACCCTACCAGTAGAGCTATCCAATCTGCCTAGCCTCCACATCTTTGACGTCTCCCACAACATGCTGACAGGGGATCTGCCAAATAGCCGCTTCTTCAACAACATCCCTGAGTCCTTCCTCATGGACAATTCTGGTCTGTGTAGCTCACGGAAGAATGACTCATGCAGCGCAGTTATGCCAAAGCCTATTGTGCTAAACCCAAACTCCTCGTCAAATCCCTCGTCGCAGGCTACACCTAGTGCCCCTAGCAACATGCATCACAAGAAAATCATATTGAGTATCTCCACCCTCATTGCCATAGCCGGTGGGGCAGCCATTGCTATCGGAGTGATCACCATATCTGTGCTTAATCGCCGCGTCCGGGCCCATGCAGCTGCCCCACGCTCAGCACCTGTTACTGCATTATCTGATGATTACCTTAGTCAGTCCCCTGAGAATGATGCTAGCTCTGGTAAGCTTGTCATGTTTGGAAAGGGCAGCCCTGAGTTCAGCGCCGGTGGGCATGCATTGTTGAACAAAGATTGTGAGCTTGGACGTGGAGGCTTTGGTGCAGTCTACAAGACAGTGCTCAGAGATGGAGAGCCGGTAGCCATCAAGAAGCTTACTGTCTCTAGCTTGGTCAAGTCAAAGGACGATTTCGAGCGACAAGTGAAGATGCTTAGCAAGGTGCGGCACCACAATATTGTCGCACTCAGAGGTTTCTACTGGACTTCATCGCTGCAGCTCCTTATCTATGATTACCTGCCCGGAGGAAATTTGCATAAACACCTACACGAGTGCAATGAAGATAACTTACTTTCCTGGATGGAGAGATTCGACATCATCCTCGGTGTTGCCCGGGGCCTGACATACCTGCACCAGCATGGTATCATCCACTACAATCTCAAGTCAAGCAACGTGCTGCTGGACAGCAACGGCAAGCCAAAGGTCGGCGACTGTGGCCTTGCTAAGCTGCTGCCAATGTTAGACCGGTATGTCCTGAGCAGTAAGATCCAGAGTGCACTTGGGTACATGGCACCAGAATTCGCATGCAGGACAGTGAAGATCACCGAGAAGTGCGACGTGTATGGCTTTGGGGTGCTTGTGCTGGAGGTCTTGACCGGCAGGAGGCCCGTCGAGTACTTGGAAGACGATGTGGTTGTCCTGTGTGATCTGGTCAGAAGCGCGCTGGAGGAAGGCAGACCAGAGGACTGCATCGATCCGCGACTATGCGGTGAGTTCCCCTTGGACGAGGCCCTGCCGATCATCAAGTTGGGCCTTGTCTGCACCTCCCAGGTGCCGTCGAACCGGCCTGACATGGGTGAGGTCGTGAGCATACTCGAGCTGGTGAGGAGTCCTCAAGATAGTGCCGAGGATGAGCTGGTTTGATGAGCCCTATCAGGAGATTCTGTTCTAATTCACCTTGAGAGCCTTTTCTTTTCTTTTTCTGATGAGATGCATATATGATTGCCCGGTGGGGAAGAAAGGAGAGGGGTGGTGCAGAGAGTGGAATGTCTGTAATGTGTTGAAAGCTGTAGGGATGCAAGGCTGTTTGTTGCTTCTCTGAAATTCTTTGATTTTGTAGGTCATGTAGGCATTGACTCGATGCAACGCAAGCCAGGTTTGGTGATACCTTGGCGTAACTGGATGACCGGTGTTTTTGACTGTTCTGCTGATAGTGCGACTTTGTTCGACCGATTAAATGGCTCAGGATTTCTTCATTTAATCTGTCTGCTTGTACTGTTTCCTGTTTTTTAAATGATTCAATTGCTCAACACTTCTTAAGCTAGAAGTGTCATTAAGTATTTTTGTACTTGTTCAGCGATAAATCAAGAATCGCCAGTGTATAGAGTACTAGAACAGACCATCGGGTTCATAGTAGGCTCAAATTGAGCAGGAGCCAAGAGTCCGTAGAAAATGACCTGCCCTTTGAAGCTTCCAAAAGACTTGGGTGATCATCCCACGCATTCACGTCACTGGCTCACTGCTGCCACGCCGGCGCTACCAGTATTCACCGCGGGAATTGAATGGGCCTTTACTATTTCAAAAATTAAATGCGGCATCAACCTTTGGTCCTCACTCATTCCACTCCACTCCGCCTCCACCTCGTGCAATAATTCCAGCAGCACCGCAGGCAGCATTCACCTCACTGCTGCCCGGGCCGGCGCCGATCTGTTGTTGTCAGGCAGGGTGCTTTTTTCCGTGATAGAACAGTATTTTTATTTCGACAAATCAGCTCTACGAATCACCATGGCAACACTCAGCCTGTTCGATTGGCTGATTCGCATAGTGAACAACTATTCTTTTCGTGCAAATGTGATGTAAGAATCTTGTCCGCAGGCAATATATGGCAATAGTTAATTATGATGAGAAAAGAAAAATACAATCGTTTAACCGAAAGCTAATACACATATTCCTGAATTATAGAAAGGTATTATGTAAACATGCCTCAACGCGTGAGGAGGCTGGCCAGCACCCGCCAGCCCAGCCGAGTCTCGCCGAACAGAGCGCAAAAGGCCTCGACCCTCAAGACCATCACAGCGCCAGAGGAGTGGTCTCAGCCCTCAAGACAGCACTCATCACAGCGCTGGCGCGGGCGAGGCTGCCGACCGAGTGGGGAGCACGGGAACTGTGGAGAACGGCTGGAGCACACTTTCCACACGGCAGCACCCGCCATTTCCGAATTGCCACATAGGACTACAGAAACGCACGAATCAAAGAAATCATCAATGATTTTTCATTGAGCACTGCTTTCGTCGATCGTAAATCGAAATTTGATTTCCAACGGTGTTTTTCTCTCACACCAAACCAAGCCCAGAGAAAAGCACTAAATAAATAATCCGTATACGACACTTCATATCTCTAACGTGCGAGGTTGCATGGGCGTCAAAACTGCCAGGTCAAATCACCTTTTACACCTCCTTTTCGAAGTAGTAGTAACTGCGAACGCAAGATCGATGTCTTCTTGAGCTTGTCTGAAATTCGCTAGTGACGAATCGTTCAAAAACAAAATCGCTAGATGCAGCATGCGCCAATGATAAAGATGCACCCTTTTGGCAGGACGGCTGGCTTCCGCCGAGGAACACGAGATCGATCTCCTTCTTGAGCTTACCTGAACAACGGCCGACAGGACCAAGTCTGGGTACTGATGAGGCATGAATGTGGTCGTGATGATAAATAAAGATTCAAAAATACAGTGTACAGCTAGAGTTCTTATAAACGGAAGTTAGGGTAGGCGTGTAGCCGAAGCATGCCATGTCGAGTGCATATAAGTACACTCGCGTTTGCTTTAATCACGAGAAATTGAGTACTCCTATGCCTTACTACCGGAATTATATTGAGAATTGCCAGCTCGTGCAGCCTACACCCTACAGAAAAAGATTAATGATCCCCTGTGGGCTGTGGCCGGTGGATCGCTTTGGATTCACTCAAAAGCAACGTCTACACTGCTCTGCTATTCATAAGAACGAAATTAAGAACTGATCATAGTACTACTCCATCCTTTGATCCTTCCTATTTCGAATTGTGCAGTTCAATATATATTTAAGTAGCAATGCATGTGGATTTAGCCTAGTTTGCACCTGCACTGTGTGTGAGACAGTGTCATTGTGCAGAGCGAATCGTGGTTAGCGCCGTGGGGATCGCCGGGCAGCTTTGTCGCGTTGTTGTTGCGAAGATTCGGAGCGTGAATTGGTGGGTTTTAATTTTTCCTCTATAAAACCCACGCACACGCACCCATGTGATGCGATTGACCCGTACACACACTACTCCCACGTTGCCTACGAGAAATTTGTACAGCCCCGAAGTGCGTGTTCTCCCTCATCCGAGGACGCTGTCCCAGTGTCCCGTGCCGTTAACCAACCTGCACCTGCTTTCTTTATTCGTTTGCCCGATTGTTATCAGTTTCCGACCCCGATCCGAGCACCGATAGTCAACGTAGGAGTACCGTATGCCCCAGTGCTTAAGTTGCGTGCCGGCGCGTGCACCTCTCCCTGTCTGGGGAGCCCTGCTGGCGCCTCCCGTCCGCGTCTGGTTCGACTCGACCGTTGCCGAGAGTAGCCGTCGACGGTTCAACGCACGCGCTGCTGCTCATCAGTCATCACCAGGTCTGACAAACGTGACTTTTACTACGACACAGGAAGCAACTGGAGACACCAGAAATTGGCAGCTACTCTACCGGTAGCGCGGTAGGAGGCCGGGCTTCCCGACTGGCGCACATGCTTCTTCTGGGCTTCCACGGCCACGGGAACCATCGTCGCACGGGAGCAGGAGTGAGCGGCGAGGCAGTGAGGCACCAACCGCGGCCTTGGGCTTTGGGGCAGATTTATTGTGGCGCGTAGGCTATGCCCGGCGAGGACATGCATGCAGATGCTCTCTAGTGGGTGGTGGTCACATTTATGACGCCCTGACACTGCCGGCGGCACAGGGTCGCTGGCGCGGCCGAGGCCCCTACGGCTACGGCCCTACCACATGCGCGCGCGTCGCCGTCGCGTCGCCACTGTGGACCTCAGTGCCTCACCGTCGGCACTGTGCTCCGGAGCAGTCTGCGTCGGCGCATGGGGCAGGCGAACAGGTCTCGACGTGACACGGAAGATGGAGGCGACGGACGGCACCACCGAACGTTTTCACGTCGATGGTGGAGCCTGACTGCCTGAATCACATCGGCGTGGCCGCATCTCCGTCCGCCGCCCGCCCTCGTTCCGGGGCGATTGGGCGAAGCGTGGGATGGGATCAGATATGCATGGAATCAGATTCGGATATCATTTTTTACTTTATTTTAATTCAAATAAGAATACGGATTCGGTATTTTTTAATACGAATCAATCCTAGATTCGGATTTCTATTCATATACAAAATGTATATTGTTAAATTAAACATACATGAATACAATTTTACTACTAAGTTCATCGTTAACCAAAGTGAACTAAATGAAAGTACACTTCCAATAATCTCCAATATGGAAGTAAACTAAATTATAATGGATAATGATGAATAAAATAATAGATCAAGTGAAGAATTCCAAATAAATATGGTACAAAACAAATAGCTTTGTTACTTTATCATTAGTTTTGGAATTACAAAATTATTACACAAGTAGATATTAAAGTATTTGTGTATATAACATAGACAAGGATAGCTCATAAAAATAATATAGTTACCAATAAATATTTAATAATTAATTACATCAATTTAATAACCAATATTATATTTATATAAATATTTATCATGAAATAATAAATTATAAAATAACTTACATCAATAAATAAATACACTAAAGTATTAAAATAACTTAAAAACAACAAATATATTAGATTTAAACTAAATAAAAATACTAAGATTAATTTAATCCTCAGGTGTCATTAATAATGTTAAATTAATACTAAAAAATAATTACAAATATATTATTAAATGGTTTTAATGCATTATTAGTAACAATAAAATTAAATAATTAGGCACTCGTTATAGAGAGAATACTTTTAAATAGGTTCATGATACCTTGTTTTCTTTGCGGGTACGGATACTGTCATATATTGTCAAATATGGATCTGGAATCAGATAGAGAAAACACTGAAAAACGAATTCAGATATATTCATTTAGTATCCATATTAGAAACGGATACGAATATGGATATCCATATTACAAGTTTTAGTGGATACGGATATCGGATAATTCGGATATCCATTTCCATTTTCCATCGCATCGTTCCGCCTTTGTACTTTGCTGGTGCCCACATAAATATAATGTGGCAACGCACCCAATGCCCGGACGACCGGCTAGCTGCGCGTGTCCGGATGCACCTCGACTCGTTTTGATCCCAATCAAACAACGGAGCACCTAGCGCCTCGAGTCCATCCGACTTGTTTTGATCCTGACCAATCCACGTATTCTGATACAAACAATACGATGAACCAATCCGTACCGGGCGTCACTTGCCAGTCGCGGCGGCCCTCCCACGCCCGTTGCGGCGGCCCGTTCCCTCTCTCGCGCCGCCATCCGCGCCGCGCCCCCTGTCCCCCACCGCGCCCCGTTACCCCACCGCGCCCCGTTACCCACCACGTCCCTTGTCCCGAGAGCACAAAACACTTTCAAGTGCAACATCACAAAAAAATATAGTGCAACATTGGGATATAAATACTTCAACTTCACAAAGCTATGTAGTGCAACAACGAAAAAATATACTGCAACATAGGAAATTATGTAATGCAACATTAAAAAATTTGTACTGCAACATCTGAAACAGTAGTGCTGCAACATCGCAAAAATCAACCATAAAACGTGGGAATGGAAACATCTCAAAAATCACCATTTAGTGCTGCAAACATTTGGGAAAAGGTAATTTCAACAATTAAGATCCCTTATTGCAACAATCCCAACATTAGAAAAAAGGACCTACTACAACACAAGAAATAACCTATTGCAACATAGAAAATTATCTGTTGCAACATCCAAAAATCCCCCCTGTAACACGGAGAAACGGCAAATTCCAGAGCTCACCGGAACCCTAGCCACCGCCGCGTCCCTCAGATCTAGAGGAGGAGGGCTCAGATCTAAAGAAGAAGGAGGAGGAGGAGCGCTCAGATCCAGACGAGGAGGAGGAGGAGGGTTGAGATTCAGAGAAGGACCGACCTACCTCGTCGGAGCCGTCGTCATCATCGTCGTCTCCGGTTGGGGGAGCGGGAGCTGGGTCGCTGGGGAGCACGGGTCGCAATGGAGGGAGGGGGGAGAGAGAGCGCTCGGTCGGGCGTAGCAGTGAGCTAGGCGCAGGCGTGGTGTCCATCCCCGGGTGCTAGCAGGCTCCGAGCACGATGCAGCGCGGGCGGCAGCGAGAGGGCGAGTGGAGCGGGACGGTCGTGGGATGGGAGGGAGGCGCGGGGGAGTGAGGCGGTCACAGAATGGGGTGAGGCGTGGGGGTCATGGGCTACGTCCGAACGTGAGTTTGGAACGGACGTCCTCCTGGAATCATTATCGATGATGTGGATGAATTTTAATCTCTATTAGCAAAAGAAAATTATTTGCGAATTTTAACCACATTAATATAATGTGGATGAATTTTAATGTCCAAATAAAACATAGAAAAAGGCAGTGTCATAGAGGAAACAAATATATTTTTCTAACTTCACATGATAAAGTGGCGTGGCGTACAAGGAATTAGTTCATTTTCTATAACAGGGGTATTCTGGTCATTTTGCATGGCACTTAACAGTGTTAGGGTCTAAAAATGATGGTAGTGTCGGATATGGCACTGAAATTCGAACATAGGGTCATGCTTGGATTTTTTAAGTTTTAAGGTCATAAAAGGAATAAGCGAGTTTCATAGGGTCATGCAGGGAATTCTCTCTTTCTAGTATTGCTTACTCTATATAAGGCTCCCTTACTGATAGTGGTGATTCAAAATTTGAAGCACTAAAAGAAGCCTGAGTAGTCATTTTAGTTTTTTTTTACATCCATAGAACATCGGAACTCAGCCCATGCACTCCTCCATGTCAATTTGGCTCTGAGCACCTATAGATTAAGTTTGTTCATCCTCTAAATATGTTGCTCTCAATTGTGTGTCTCTACACAATGCAAATTGTTTCTTATATACTCATTTGCTTGTTACCATATCTAGGTTAATAATTTAGCCCATTATGTGTCAGTTGGCAATTCCATGCTTCTTGCACGATTTCTTACCACCACCTGCACTAGAGCAAATG